GGGCCGCGGCCGCCCCGGCCTCGGGGGGCCGGCTGCCACCCCTGGGCGCTTCTGCAGCCGGCACGATGGGCACGAAGTCGGGGGGGCCCTCGTTGTCCGTAAGCTCCTTGTCGGAGAGCGCCGTGCCGCTGGGCCCGATGTAGATGACCGTGTCGCAGGACTGCTCACTGCTGGATGAGTAGTCGGGGTCGCTGGACAGCTGCGGGACGGGGAAGTCGGGGTCCACGGCGGCCCTGGCCTGGAAGGGCCGCAGCTGGGTGGGCCTGCGCATCCTGCCTTCCTCACAGGAGCTCTCTCCCCCCGATGAGCTCGACGTGTACTGTGGGCGAGAGGACAGTCAGCATGGGCTGCCCCAGGGCCCCCCCAGGAGCTGCCCAGGTACCCCCAGGGATGCCGGTTGGCTACAGGCTCCAGGCTGGCTGTCCTGCATGTGGGCAGATGCCTGGCTGTGCCCGGCCAGTGCACCTCCTGTGCCAAGGGCAGCCCGTGCGTGGCACACAGGACAGAGTCCGCTCCTGAAGGGGTGACCAGCCGGGCCGGGCTGAGCTCCTCAGGGCGGGGGGTCATGAACTGTGGCACCTTGTCCCACGAAACACTGGTTTGAAAAACTTGCTTGTTGTTATTTATACAAAGCTACAGAAAGGAGGGGAAAGCCCACGTCACCAGCCGTCATCAGAGTGACCACCATTGGTCACTTCCTCACACGGTCGTCTCACGCCCCCGCTGGCTGGCTTGGCCTCTGCCTCGCCAGGTGAGCCCAGGGGCGTGTCGCGGACTCTGAGCACCACCAGCAACCCCTGACCTCACAGGACAGAGCCCAACAGCCTGAAAAGGCCTCCTGGACACACAGGGGGAGGGCCACCTGAGTGAGGGATGAGCAGTCGTCCGGGGCCAGCCACTGAGGGACACGGTCTTGGTCTCCGTCGGACCAAGGCCGGTGGGAGCCGCTGTGCGTGAGTCCTTCCGTCCCCCCCATGTGGACGTGCACCCCGGTCAGGGTCCGGGCTGGATGACCCCGAAAGGCAGCGACGGTGGGGCCCGGAGTGACGGGCGCTCCTGCCCAGGTGGGCGGGGAGACTGCTGAGCTGGTTTTTCTGAGCGGCTCCCACACCCCTCATCCACCCCGCCAGTGCCCTACCTTTGTTTTCTTCTTCTTCATCCTCAGGACCCGGGAGGCGATCTGGATGGTGGACAGGGTCTCGGCGTAGCTGCCGGCGGCGGCCGAGATGTGCGCGATCATGGTGGTGCGGCAGTTGACGTTCCCTAGGGACTCCCGCAGCAGCATGGTGAGCTTGCTGTCCCTGCGGGCACGGGGCTGCGTTAGGGGGTGCCCCCTGGGCTCGGGCCTCCGCAGGCTGCTGCTTGGGGGCAGTGGGTGTTCATGGCGGACTGATCGGCTCACTCTCTAGCACCAGGCTCTTCGCACTTGGCAGCTGGGCAAGATTCTCACCCCAAGGACAGAGCTCATGCCAGCGCCTCCCCTGGGCCTGCACCCGGCCGTGATGGGCACCCTGTCTGTACCCAGATGGCACACAGAGGCCTGGGAACAGCGGGAGGACAGCTGTGGCCAGAGATGCCGCCGCTGGCTGCACACACGGCCCACCCTGCTCACCGGCCACCTGTCTCAGGCCACCCCTGCTCACGGCCCACCCCTGCTCACAGGCCACCCCTGCCACAAAGGCAGCCCCCCCGCTGGGAACCTGCATTGAAGATCTGGGTGTCTATAAAACACACAAAGGCCCTTTGCCATGGAGTCGCACCCCGTTTCTTGCTGTTGTCGTGTAACTCATATTTGCACAGAGTGGTAATAAAGGAATTCCTATTCCTAAAAGTGGCGGAACACAGACGCAGCCCGAGCACTCAGTCAGCAACGGAACAGAACCTCCTAGAAAAACCTCCTCTGGGGACTTTGAGGGGCTGAGGGACAGGGCCCGGAGCCGTGAGACAAGGCCCAGGTGTTTACACGGTTTCCAGGATCCTTGGACCTGGAGGCGGCTCCGGGTTCCTCCCCGTTCTTGTCCCTGCTCCTCCCTGCCTGGCTTCCAGAGGGCGGCTCACATCTCCAGCCACAGGTCTGCTCAGCTGCTGCCGCCTCATCTCACCTCGGGAGGCAGCCCACTTCCCAGGTGCCCTGTACACACTCAGCTCACGTCCCTGTGCGCGCTCAGCTCACAGACCTTTGCACACTCATCTCACACCCCTGCGCACGCTCAGCTCACACCGTGTGTGTTCACACTCCTGTGTGTATTCACAGCGTCATCTGAGGGGTTTGTCCTCCCCTCAGTGCCCCTGTCAGCCCCCCTGCACAGCTCCCTGAGGGGGATGGGCCTGCTTGGCTGACTCAGTGTGAGACGCAGGCACCGTCCCCAGAGATCAGACCTGGGAAATGGGAAGACATTTCTCACGTGACCTGCATCGCCTTAGGGGAGGAGAGATGGGTGTGAGGACAACTGTTTTTCCTTTCCATCTGGGACCAATTCAGGTGCCAGTTCGGGGCTCACTTGGGCTCAGTTCCAGGGCAATTTAAAAATATACCAGGGTTTCCTTTCAAGCAAAATAACCAGTGACAGAGTGAGGAAGGAGAGGGGCTGAATGTGTGTCCTCCCCAAATTCACGTGATGGTGTTAGGAGGTGGGCCTCTGGGAGGTGATTAGGTCAGGAGGGTGGGGCCCCCATGGACTGGTTAGTGCCCTTGTAAACGGGGCCCCAGAAGCCTCCTCACTCCTCCCACCTCGTGAGGTTATGGCAACAAGACGCCGTCCAGGAACCGCGAGGTGGGACCTCTCCAGACCCCGAACCTGTGGTGCCTTGAACCTGGACCCAACCCCCGACTGTGCGAAATAAACTTCTGTGGTTGAAGCCACCCCGTCTGTGGTAGATGTCACAGCAGCCCAGACTCAGCGAGAAGTATGGGGTGTGGAGAGGAGGAGCCGGCCTGGCGGCAAACATCTAATGCCTTTCACAGCCACCAGCAGTGCTGATGACCGAGGGGGAGTCACGCCTGCTCCACTCCGGGCAGACAGGCTCAGAGGCGCTGAACCTGGCTGAGCCGTGACGGGCCCTGGCCGGGGAGGCGGGGGCAGTGGAGACGGCGTCCATGGGGTCAGCTGTGCGCACATACAGCCAGTTCTTCGTTCTCATGACAGCAGTTCTGCCAACACTGAATTGGTGCACACGGCACGGCTGCTCCCGGGAACACACGGTGAGGTCCCGGAGGCCTCGGTCACAGGGTGTCCGTTGGTCAATACGTAACCTGGCTGCATATGTGTTTCTGTTTCAAGACACCTTATTATCGAATGGGTATTTCTTACAAAGAATGAATTAGAGGCACTGATTTCCTTCTAATGAAACACTGGCTGAGGAGAGCGTAACCCGCCTGACCCTGGGCAGCAGGACGTACATTCCTGTGGCCTCCAGCTCACAGCGATCCTGCCCGCTACACTTCCTTATTTAATCAGTCCTCGTCTGTGAGCCTACAGATACCGCCAGCACGTTCCCATAGCTTCCTCATGCCCTTTATTTCTTAAATTTATTATTATTTTTAACCCTCACCTGAGGGTTATGTTTTTATTGATGTGAGAAAGAAACATCCATCGATTGCCTCCTGCACGTATCTGGACCGGGGATCGAACCCACAGCCTTTTGGTGTACAGGACGACGCCCCAACCAACCGAGCCACCCGGCCTGAACATCCATCATGCACTTCAGGTGTAACTTAAGACTTTCCATTCCAGCCTGACTACAGATCCATGAATCCTCTTCCTTTTCCCGGATGCACCACATTGTTGGTTCGTGAACATTAAATTCACGCCAACGGCAAATGGAGGAGCCTCGGTAACCACGGGTGTCCTCCGGAAGGCACGCCCAGCCTTTTTCCGACAGGACCCTCCACGGCACCGCAGGCCACATGGGGCGGGGGTGGGGGGGGAGCGCTTTAAATAGTGAAATCGCCGATGGAAAGCTCACACATGCAGAACGCGGGCACCACTGCACAGACTGTAAGAGGACGCTATTCCCAGGCCGAAGGGGGTGAGGGGCAGAGCGAGGCCTCGTCCAGCCCGGCTGGGAACACGCCCATCGGCAACTCGGCCTCAGCACCGCGCCCATCGGCGGGAGGCGGGAAGCGACACGCGTCGCGATTCGGGTTACGAATGCATCTTAGCGCGTCGGCGGGTTTGCCACATGGGCTCTGCAAGTGACATGACGCGGCTGGCATGAAGCTTCTCGTGACAAGCCCTGTAAGGGGTGCGTTTTACCCGCGTGACCCGTACGTTCTCAGGAAGACACCGAGGACAGAAGAGAGCGGGCGTGATGCCGTCAGAGCGAACCGTTTGCCCTGTGTTTCCCATGTGATCGCCATTCGTGAGCAACCAGGACATTTTTTAAGTCCACGTGGCGGGAAGAAGCCAGGGATGTGCGTTGCTTGGCAACCAGCAGCTCGGCTCCCCTGACGGGAAGCCAGAGAAGCTGCCAGCAACACGCTCACCTGGGCCTCCAGGCTCCAGAGCACATCGCCACGGGAGTGAGAAATGGTGGCGATAAAGCTGCGGTCCCCCCCATCAGTCTGACCCTGTAACTCAGACGACGGCGTTGGGGACAGGGTACAAGACGGGGCAGGGGATGGAGGCTGCACACGGCAGGTTTAACTCGGTGTCTTTGTGGGAAAATAAAAGGGTTTAAAGAGCTTGTAGGGCAACGGTCAGCACAAACTCAGTCCGCACCTTTGCACCAACAGTGAGGCCAGAGGAGGGGACATAGGGTTCAGAGCTGCTGTTTCCCAGCCCCAGGGCCGGGCTGGGGGAGGGACTTAGAGACTCGGGGCTGGGGGAGGGTCCTGGCTGGGGGAGGGTCCTGGCTGGGCAGGGCAGCAGGGGCCTGAGCAGCGACGCTGGGGGCAGGAGGACAGCGCCATTCTTCAAACAGCCACGTTCTATCCGCACACATTCCTCCTCCCACCCTAACTGCACACAGTTTTTCAGAATGACGTTTTGTTGTGGCGGTTAATCCTCACCCGAGGATATGTATTCCCCTTGATTTTTAGAGAGAGTGGGAGGGAGGGGGAGACAGAGAGAGAGAAACATCAGTGTGAGAGACACATCGATTGGTTGCCTCCTGCACGCACCCCAACTGGGGCTGGGGATCGAGCCTGCAACTAAGGCACGTGCCCTTGACCAGAATGGAACCTGCGACCCTTCAGTCCGAGGGCCGGCGCTCTAACCACTGAGAAAAACCAGCCAGGGCTCAAACCGCAGCCCATGATAAGGAAAGACGCCTTGAGGCTGGAGGTGTCCCCCCTGTCACTTTCCCTTCCTGCTGGAGAACACCCAGGCCTCAGGGGTACCAGGCAGTCCTGTCTTCTGCCTGCGGTCTCCCACACGGCAGGATCCACGGCTGGAGGGAGACCCTTTCTCTGCTGAGGCCCCTACAACACCCAATGAACTCACCTCCTTTCTAAAGGGGCAGCCGCTGAGCTGGCAGGCTGCCGTGACATAAGAGGTCAGGCTGTAATGGTGGCCAGGTAATTCCACAAGAAAGAGACTATTCCTCTCATGACAGTGTTGAGTCCACTTCTCCAGAAAGGAGGTGGCAGACTTGAAGGGAGAAGGTGGGCAGGTGTAGCCAGGGCTCCTGCAGCAGGACGAGCGCTGGGCGGGGAGCACCAGGGCGGCCCTGCTTCAGCACCACGGACAGCCCCTCCACCGGGGCCTGCTTCTCCCTGGAGGAGCGCATCTCTACGGAGGTCGCCAAGGTTGGCACTTGCAACAGACACAGTGCCCTTCAGTACAAACACCGACAAGCAGAGGCCGGCCGCTCCTCTTACGTCAGTTCCTAATACACTGAAAGAAAGGAGCTGAGTTAACCCAGAAACTAACTCAGGTGTCAAGATAACAACGTTAAATGTCAAGAAGACCCCCGTATCAAAGAGTTCGCCATCACTGGCCTAGGCAGAGGTCCTGTTTTGCGCCGAAAAGTCTCAGTTTATGCCTGTTATACTGCATCCTGTCTAATGTACTTTGTCCTGAATTTTCCACTTTTAAAAATAAGGTGTTATTATGAAGACTTAAAAAATAAGATGGGGAGACGTGGGCTGACCCTCACTGTCTATTTCACGGCCTTGTTGAGCAGCACAGGCAGAGGAGCCGTGGACGGCGCTCACACTTCAGGACACAGCGTTCCCACCAAATGGAGAAACGTGTGCTGAAGCGCATGGGAGTTGGTGACTGCACACGTGCTCCGTAACTGCCAAAACGCAGCTATTTCTGCCCGAGAAATACAAGCTGTCGCCAAAATCTGCCCCGTC